CAAACTGGAAAACTATTTGTTAATCATATATCTGAGAATGGTCTAGCATCAAGAATATATGAAGTACTCCTAAAGCTCAACAAAAAAGAACCCAGTCAAAAATTGGGCAAATGACCAGAATAGATATTTCTCCAAAGACATGCAAATGGACACTAAACACATAAAAAAAAATGCTCAACATTATCAGACATTCAGGAAATGTAAATAAGTCAAAGCCACAATGCAATACCATTCCACACCTACTAGAATATAATCAAAATATCAGAAAATTGCAAGTGTTCACAAGAATGTGGATACATTGGAACACTTGTACATTGTGGGTTGGAATATAAAATTATTCAGTGCTGTGGAAAGCAGTTTTTTGAAAAGCTAAACATAGAAATACTGTATGACCCAGTAATTCTGCTCCTAGGTATATACCCAAAATAATTAAAAATAAGGACTTAAACATTTGTGTGCCAAGGTGCATTGCAGCATCCTTCACAATAGGCCAAAGGTGGAAACAATCTAAGTATTTTATCAATGGATGAATGAGCCAGCAAAATGTGATGTATAAGTACAATGGAATACTATTCAGGCATAAAAAGTATAGAGTCTGTTACATGTTACAGCATGGATGAAACCTGAAAACATCATGCTGAGGGGAATAAATCATATGCAATGAGGAAAATATTGTATGATGCTGTTTATATAAAATGTCTAAAACAGAAAAATTTTGCATAGACAGAAAGATAAGAGATTATTGGGACTAAAGAAATGGAAAATGAGGAGTTATTGCTTAATGATTATAGAATTTCCACTTGGAATGATGAAAGGCTTTAGAAATAAATAGGCTTTAGAAATAATAGTAGTTTACATTGTAAATATATTTAATGCTACTAAATTTTACACTCAAAAATGGTTAGTATGACAAATTTTACATTTACCACAATCAAAAATAAGAGTCAATATTTAAAAGGCTAATATTTTATGGTTTCACATACTTATTTCATTTAAACATTATTCTAACAGACTTGGCATCAGAAATATTTTAATTAATAATGTCATTGAAATATGTATAACATTACATAACTCCAAAACTGTTTTTTCTACTTCTTCTTAGTGACAAAGGAACAGTAGTTATACATGCATATGACACCTTCCGATACTTATTATGTAATATAATTTTGCGAAGCACAATAAAGAAAATCAGAAGTCAAAGAAACACTTGTATATTTGACCAGTGCATTCCCAGCTGCTTACCTTTTAACAAATAGGAATAAATAGCAGAGCAAGGCCTCTGTAATGTATTGATTACTTTGGCATGATATTTATACATGTATTTTTGTGAGTACACTAATATTATTGAATACTTTTATCCACAAATGATACCTACCTGCGTTCTCACTGTAGAAAATTGGAACATAAGAAAGCAAATACCATCTCCCTATAACTACACCCTCCTACCCTCAGTGCCATTTCTCAGAGAACAATCACTGTTTTCAGTCATTTTTTACTCTTGGAGACATCAAAATAGACTGCCATATTGGGTTGGGGTGGGGAGTATTCTTATAATGTTACGTTTACCTGATTAATTTTATGGCATGAAAAAGCAACTGGGGGGACCTATTATATTTTGGAGGCTTGCTAGAGATACTGGATATTTTACACACATTATCTTATTTAACACAGCAAAACTTTTAAGTGTAGATCACTATTCCTATTTAGATATGAGGAGATTGAGGAGAAGACCAAGTGAATTTCCTGAGACCACACCGCTAATAAGTAACAGAATCAAACCTTTCTGCCTGTCAAAGTGCCTCCGTGATCATCTGAAGGGCTAGAAAGGGCAGCTCATTACTAAGAGCCTATGCTGCCATATTAAGAACAAAACAGAATGAAAGGTGAGAAGGACAAAGAATGTTTCTTTTTCCACTCCTAATAGTTCTACAACTAGAAATGGTTTTGAAGTTTGACTTTTTTTTTTTTTCTTTCTGCAGACAGATAGTCGTAGCATCATTTTCCGCAACATTGACAGTGATGAGTGTGTAGCAGACATGTTCTGCAAGTCTTGTTTCTTCATCAATGTACAGTGATGAAATAAGATAGAAAGGATAGAGAGGAATAGGAGAAATCGGTTCTAGATATTTCATAATCTCCAATAGACAAGAGAAAATGGAGAGTTACTTTTCACTTGACGGGAAGTAGCTAAGAAATTTAATCATGCTCTTTTAACAGGGAATACAGTATCTTCACTAGTCAATGAGAAAATACAAAAGGCTTAAGCCAAATTGATTACACCCTGATTCCCCAGATCTACACCACTTTGTGCATGAGAGAAGCTTCTGACCTATTTGAATGCTGGAAACAGTGATCCAGGGCAGTCAGAGTAGCTGGACTTTAGCATCAAATGGAAGCAAGTTTGCCTTTTGATTTTTTTTTTTTTTTTTTTTTTTTTTTTGAGAAAGTCGCTAACTAGACTAGCAGAGCAGTGTCTTTTTGGTCTTCAAAAATCTGATTCATCTCCAGCAGAGTAATATTGAATTTCCTGATTAGAAAAATTATTTCACTAAGACTTGAAGCAACAATTCTCTCTCTTTTAACTGTGCCCCTAAACAGGTACGGTTTCCCTCTGGGCTCTGCTGAGCTCCTGTACATGCTTCACTGTTCAAGGGACTTTCAGTAGCTGGTATTAGAACGACTGGGCGAATGTAGCTTACACCGTGGCAAATGATGGAGCACACTGCGCACTTTTAGAAAGACCATGCTAGGGAGATGCAGTTATTCTATTAACCACAGTGAATTCATTTTAATTTCAGATTAAACCTCACATTTGAGGTTAGCAGGGTCAGAGCTCCCTTGTTTGTATGGTATTCAATTAATACTTTTTTAAAAACAGGGTCCAATTTACTGAGAAGAAAACAAACTTTCAATCTGGAGTATTTCCTAAAGAGCAAATGTTCACTAGAACTATGGGCAGTTCCTTGTTTGCTTTGTTTTGTTTTTGTTTACTTAGGCATGCTGTCATTTTCAAAAGCTTAAAGACAGAGGCACCCCAAACTCTATATTCCCACAGTAGAATTTCTAACTGAGCTGGCCTCCAAGCCTCTGAGATGTCAGATGTCAGATACTGAAAGAGAACCAAATTTTTTAAAAAATCTTTTTGTTAAGGGGAAACTGTACATTTATTTTGCGTATCTGATACTAGTCTACAATTCCAATGCGATAGGACATGCCCATTGGTTACTTTATTATTATTAATTAGTTGCAGGAACATTTCTTTAAAAAAAGAAAAAAGCTTAAATTTTCTTTTATTACATATAAAAGAGAATATTAGATTCCCTTTTTGGCTTTAGTAGCCAGAAATCACACAGGTAAATGTAATACTTAATTGTGGATACTATATTAGCCTATATCATTATATTTACTCTAGTTTTTACATTTCACTAATTTCCTCATTTCTACTTGAAGAGCATTATCATATTTATATTATGTTATTGTATTTTCTATTATGTCACTTTAAAGATATTTTTAAATAGTTGGATTACAAGTAATAAATATAGTAAACATCTTCATATGTTGTAATTTCTACAAGGAAAATTATTAGCAACATTTAATAATCTGCATAAAATATAAATTTTACAAGAATTAGTGGATCACAAAATAGAAACTTTACAAGAATTAGTAGATCATTAAGAGTATATCAAATAATAACTGCCACTTTGAACAGCATACCCATGAATGTCTATATCTGACTTAGAATAAGACATATTTAGAAACATTATTACTTTCTTGCCCTGTGATGGGCCACCCTTCAGTCTTCTATATTGAGTGATTCAAACCAAAGAACAAAAAACAGTCAGTGCCAGGCCAAAGGGTAAAACTTCGAGTATTCTGGGAAATAATGTTTATTAAAAGGAAGAGTTTGTCTTAATGGAAAGGCAATTATCATGAAATAAATGGTAGCAATAACAATATATAGATGATGTAATTTGGTGTAATAAAGAATCCAGCACCCCAATTCTTTAGCTGTTGTTTGAAAACTTAATTCAAAAAAATTAAAACAAAAACAGTACCATAAAAATATTTCTTTATACAGATTTATAATGTTATAACATTCAAGTGATTATTCTAGAAACATTAAAAAGAAGGTTCTTTTCCCTATTATTAAGGACTCCTTTTTAATAGAGTTATTTATTGTATTTTCCTTAAGAGATTATGTCTGTCTGTCTTCTATTGCCAGTTGTTTTGAGTAAAGGGAGCAAGTAAGGAGAAAGAGCAGATCTCTGGCTTCGAAAGTCTTAGTGCTAAATCCAGAAGTCCTCTTTTTTGCTTTAATTCAAGCTACACACAATGAGGAGAAAGCCCCCATTCACTTCACCCCTCATTCATTGTTTCTTCCTCTAGTAGCAGACACTCATCAACCATTCACAGTCTCATTATGTGCAAAGTCCAGGCTGACTGCTGCTTCTAGCATAAGGAAGAAGAGCACATTTAAAAAAGCTTTCCATGACAAGGCTTTATTTCCTCACACCATCATTTAAAAACCTTTTAAAGAGCAATCTGGGCCTCTGATGGTAATGTCTTGCCTAGCAATTAGTGGTAGAGGTGCTGCGGTTTAAAAGCCTTTTAAATTATCTTATGAATGGTCGTCCTACAATAGGCTTTCATTATGCAGGGGGAAGTCCAGTACTCCACCCATTTTGGGGGCACAACTGGTAAGCTCTTCTTAAGGAGTCATTCACAAAGATTGACAGCTTGAAATTTGCTAGACACAAAGTTTTAAGTAGAGCATGGCTGCAGAATGATACCCAATTTAATATGGAAATTGCCTTTTTTCTTTGAGTGGACTAACTAGCAAACTTCAAAAGTTCCTTAGATTTGATTCATGTTTATCTGAAGTATATCCAAGGGCATCTGTGAGACTTTGAACAGAAAAAAAGAAAAAAAAAAAAAAAAAAAAAAAGCACGATCTTTTTTTCAGTAATAGGCCCAAAGTGCTAGAAATGCATCTCTGGCAATGAGGCAGCTAGAACATTTGTCTCAACTTTGAGCTGTCCCAGCACACAAGTAAAAGAGGAGGGGTTATCTCAGATACGGCTAAGAAGAGAAGCAGCTAAAAATGACTAAGTAGTTCTCATTGCAAAGCCCGTTCTTTTTATGGATTGTCAGAGATTCTCAGTTATACTGGAAAAGGTACCCCAACTGAAACAATATTGATTAAAAATCAGTTCAAACCTCAGGAGCTGGAAAGGGCAACAGGGTTGGATTACAGACTTGAATCGTGGCTCTTTGCATCTCTTCTCCAGTGGTGTTTTCTTTTTGCTACAGAGAAGAATAAGTGAACAAATGTTCTGGGTACAGCCATGCATCTCTTAATGGCAAGGATACATATTCTGAGAAATGTGTTGTAAGGTGATTTAATGTTTGTGGAAACTTCATAGAGTATACTTACACAAACCTAGATGGTATTAGCCCACTAACTACCTAGGGTCTAAGGTATAGCCTGTTGCTCCCAGGCTACAAACCTGTTCAGCATGTCACGGCACTGAATACTGCAGGCAATTGTAATACAATGGAAAGTATGCGAGTATCTAAACATTTACAAAGTGAGACAGGAGAGATCCCCCCACCCAACCCCTTCTCAGGACTTGCCACAGAGGTATGGCTCATTTATATGCTCCTACTCCTTGCGAGAGGGGTAGCATGCAAGTGAGTGGGTGCAGGAGCCAGGGCAAGTGCTTTTGGGCACTGACAAGAATGAACCCTGTACCACCCCGACATCATCTACTGTCCCAGCAGCATCTAGGGGTTGTTCATGACCTCTGGAGCCCCAGAGGGCATGTGTTACAAACAACGCTCTTTTAGCTTTGCTATCCATGGAAGGCTTAGGTGTTAAATGGCTCAGTGAAGAGTCACTGTGACAGCCTTTTAGGGCTCCCACACCAGTGCATCCTAAATTCTTGTCCAGCGTCCAGGAAGAATCAGGTTACATGAATGCATTGAAGGATGGTGTATGCAGAGGATTTTACTGAGTGATGGAAATGGCTCTCAATAGGATGGGGAGCAGGAAAGAGGATGGAGTGGGACAGTGGGACCTCTCCAACTGTCCCTGGCCAAACTCCTCTCTGACCACAGTCTTTGATGTCCAGCTGCCTCTTCTCTCAACATTCAGATGCTTCTTTTCTTCTCTCCTTCTCTGCTGTGCTGCCCTGCTCCTCTGTCAATGGAGCTTAGGTTTTTTATGGGTACAAGGTGCGGGGTGTGGCGGGCCAGGGTAGTGTTGGAAGAGGCAACATTTAGGTGGGAAAACAGGAATGCATGTCAGGTTTTCTATAGGTACAACATGAGAGTGTGGAGGGCCAAGATGGTGTTGGAAAAGGCAACATTTAAGTGGGAAAACAGAAATGCATGTTCTCATTTAAGGCTGTGGGTCCAAGCTTGACGGTGGCGCCCTCGCCAGAGACTCCGCCCTCTTCTACCCAGTATTTTCTTGCCTCCTATCCGTATCATTAAAGTACAGTTTATAATCTTATGAGACCGCTGTTGTATTTATGTTTCATCTTAACTGAAACAGCCTTATGCAGTACATGCCTGTAACTGGAAGCATTAGATGGCTTTGCCATCTAAATGCAATTCCCTTAGTTCTTTTTGTTAATGACTGTGAACTTGGTTGCAAAAAGAAATACAACACGCCCAGACTGACGCTGACTCCTCAGCTGAGTAATAGTGAGAAGAAATGTTAAAAAACTAAAGGCTCCAGACTGTCGGGACCAAAGTGGTTTTGTTTTGCTTTTCAGGGGAATCAATCACAGAATCCAACATCTTCATCAGGCTAACCCAAATGGTCATCATTTTCCTTCACTCAGAAAACCTTGAGTTCTGGGTAATGCAATGACATCTCTCTTTATACTATCAGGCTTCCAAGCTGGGGCATCCTTTCCCCTCCTGGTTGGTTTATTTCATGAGAGCTTTTCCAGGCAAAACTGATTTTTCTATACCTGCCTGCAAATTTCTGAGTCTTAATTGCTTTGTTAACTTTATACTTAGGCCCCAGTGAACATTCTTCATTAATATTTCAGGAAATAATATTTTTCTTCTGGGTGAAAGTGAATTAGGAGTCAGAAATACGTAAGGGTTTTTTCCCAGATTCATTACTGATTTATTTGGTAATTTGGGCTGTTCTAGAACTCTCTATGTTTTAGTTTTCACTTACGATTAGATCAACATTATTACTATTTTATTTTTTAATGATGTAATTTTGATAAAGGTTTTATTATCCAGCTGGGAAAACATATAGAAAGGAAATATAGCATCTTCTTTTTCAAAACAAAGGATAATAAATCTTACCATGTGAATTCTACCAGTTTTCCTTTTCTAATATCTTTTGAATATATGCATATACACCACCTGCTCTCCTCTCATTGTCTTTTAACAACTGTATGAGTAAAATAGTAACAACGAATCTTCATAATTTGAATAGAAATGTTGGGAAGTCAGTCATTCTGATCATACCCAGAAAAATTTTGCTTAATTGCTGATCTTCTAGACAGCTTTGATATCAAAGCACTACAGATTGATGTGCCTGTTGTCCTCGAAGTGGTACAAGTCAGAGACAGACTGGACTCAGCCAATGCCCCAGAAGTCTCAGACACTAAAGACACAACCTGCCAGAGTGAAATTATGCCTGAGAAGGGATGGTGACAGCACAGCAACCAGGGATACTTTCAAATTTCCACAAATTTGTTTTCTATTTTCTTTTCCTGTTAGTGGAAATAAAACATTATGTATGGCTTATGTCTGTTACTGATAAATAGTGTTGGCAATTCCAAACCCTATTCCCAAATGAAGGAAAGTAGATTATTGAGCACTGGGTCAGAAGCCGGTAGCACTGGTTTCTGGTCCTTAGACAGACACAAATTACTTATGTGGACTTAGGGAAGTCACTTGAACTTCTCTTGCTTCAGTTCCATGATTTGTAAACCAGACACATGGTTTATTATACTCTACTCTCAAGCCTTCTTAGGAAAATTTATTTCTAAATTATTTTAAAAATATAATGTATGAACTTTCATTATATCACTGTGCAACTGAACACACACACAGTAGAAAACCAAAAAAAAAAAAATCTGATTTTACAAAGTCAAAACTAAGTAAACTGTTAAACTTATACTATTGGTACTGCTATTGTCAAGATTAAGCAATGGTTAATTTAAGAAAGATGTTATACCTTGATTTTATATATATATTCAAACACATAAAATACTGACTGAAACCGGATTGCTATTTTTATTATTTTATTTTTTATGCTTTAATTTATTTTATTTTCAGTTCTGGGATACATGTGCAGGACATGCAGGTTTGTTACTTAGATAAATGTGTGCCGTGGTGGCTTGCTGCAACTATTAACCCATCACCTGGGTGTTAAGCCCTACATACATTAGCTATTTATCCTGATGCTCTCCCTTGACCCACCCCCTCAACAGGCCCCAGCATATTGTTCCCCTCCCTGTGACCATGTGTTATTGTTCCACTCCCACTAATGAATGAGAACATGTGGTGTTTGGTTTTCTGTTCCTCCAGTAGTTTGCTGAGGATAATGGCTTCCAGTTCTACCTATGTCCCTGCAAAGGACATGATCTTGTTCCTTTTTATGGCTACATAGTATTCCGTGGTATATATGTACCACATTTTCTTTATCCATTCTATCATTGATGGGCATTTGGGTTGATTCCATGTCTGTGCTATTGTGAATAGTGCTGCAATGAACATATGTGTGCACATATCTTTACAATAGAATGATTTATATTTCTTTGGGTATATACCCAGTAATAGGATTGCTGGTTCTTATGGGTATTTCTGGTTCTAGGTCTTTGAGGAATTGCCACATTGTCTCCCACTATGGTTGAACTGATTTACATTCCCACCAACAGTGTAAAGGCATTCCTATTCCTAAAGAGCCTTACCAGCATCTGTTGTTTCTTGACTTTTTAATAGTCACCATTCTGACTGGCATGAGATGGTATCTCATTGTGGTTTTGATTTGCACTTTTCTAATGAGCAATGATGTTGAGTTTGTTTTTTTTTTTTCATGTTTTTTGGCCACATAAATGTCTTCTTTTGAGAAGTGTCTGTTCATGTCCTTTGCCCATTTTTAATGTGTTTTTTTTTCTTGTAAATTTGTTTAAGTTCCTTGTAGATGTGGATATTAGACCTTTGTCAAGGATTCTTGTGAAAATTCAATAACATTCCTTTTGATTATTTAAGGCCACTAAGTCTCTACAGAAAAAGTTGCATGCTCAAATTATAACATTGAAACAGAACCACTAATATGATAAATTTCCAGAATACAATTTTACTTCCTCAGATTAGATAACTGCCAAAGTTGATCTTACCTACTAGGGAAGTTTGCCCACAGTAAGTAATCTGACTGTGCTATTGACATTCTGCCCTTACTGAATTCCTTTTATTTCTTTATAAAGATGAGCATTCACTAGGAAATAATTGGCAGTTTTAAGATAATTTCAGCATAGTCTTTTGTAAATTATTCACAGTGTTAGGGACTACATGACTGTATTAGTCTGTTCTCATGCTGCTATAAAGACATGCCCGAGACTGCGTAATTTACAAAGGCAAGAGGTTTAATGGGCTCACAGTTCCACATGGCTGGGGAAGCCTTGAAATCATGGGTGAAGGCAAATGAGGAGCAAAGTCACGTCGTACATGGCAGCAGGCAAGAGAGCTTGTGTAGGGAACTCCCCATAATAAAACCATCAGATCTCATGAGACCTATTCACTATCACGAGAACAGCATGGGAAAGACCCGACTCCATGATTAATTACCTTCTACTGGGTCCCTCCTGTGACACATGGGAATTATGAGATCTACAATGCATGATGAGATTTGGGTGGGGACTCAGCCAAACTGTATCAATGGGACTATTATAGATTATGGGATTAATTTAACATAGGTATGTAGAAAGGATGCCAACATGTAACAACATAATAAAAGGAATACAGTTTATAAAATACAAGTGTTTCTCATTCACATACTTTGCTTATATATTATAAAATGTTGTGGCCTACCTTGAATTTGTCCTTTCAGATAAAATGACAGCTTTTCTTCAGCTCAAATGTTCTTGAGGATGTCACATAGCAATCTTCAAAAACAGTTGTTTCTTAGCAGGTACTGCTTGGGAAGGTGCTCACTCATCATGGCAGGAGCAATCATGAAGCAAAATGACAACAAAGATAATGCCTACGGAGAGCACTTTATAATCATTATGCTATTTCCTCAGGAATAAGAGAGAACAATGAACACTGGACACAAATAACTAAGAGGAGCAAAGAAATTATCAGCTCAAGAAATAGAAGTCTGAACAACACGATGTTGGGTTTTGCAATTACTGCTTTACCTCAACACAAATGCATTAATGAAAATGCTACTAGAATGTTTGGATACATTCTACTTGAGATTAAATTTGTTTCTGAGAAGCGTAAATGAATAATACTGCTTCTTGTGCATCTCCAACTTGGTCCTTACAGTCTTTAACAAGCTGTCTCCTTGCCAGAGGTGTTGTCCTGCCTGGGGAGACATCTAGCAGTAACCTACTTCTCCAAGTGAAAATTCAAAAAGTACTTAGGAATCTAGTATATACTCAGTCCCACACTGCTGAAAGGAGGCTTTGCAAATGTGGTTTCTGAGAGGCAGAGTATTTCTTGCTAGAGACAGTAGATTTGCTCCAGAACTAACAATATAATATAGGCATTTTCAGTGGACCACCTCTGATTTGTGACTATCATAGAAACTTTACCGAGATGCTTTGTCATTTGAACACCAATAAAATTAACCAATGTACTGTCTCCTAAGATTTCTATCATGAATTTGACTGCACATATGTATTGTTCATCCCTAAATCCTGGAATAGCAAAGCTCGGCACTACCTCACTGTTTGGCAGATGAATTAACCTAAACCTACCACAATCTGAGCCAAAGGTTTAGATGTATAAACCTAAACCCTAAATCTAGACCACAGATCAGAAAGCTACAGTACAAACCTGGCCTACTGCTAGTTTTTGTAAGTAAAATGCCACGGGAACAGAATCTTGTCCAGTCATTTATATGATTTCTCTTGGTGTTTCCGAGCTACCACAGCAGATGTGAGTTGTTAGGATAGCCTGCAAAACCTAAAATAATTCCTATTTGGTACTTTACATAAAAAGTTTGCTACCTTTCCAAGCCAGATGCCCAGGGAAATCTTAGATATCTGAGCATGAGAGGGAACAACTGAATATGTTAACAGAATGAGCAAACCTTATCAAATTCCTAAATGTTAGCAAAAAGAACAGTATGGCCACATGAGGTGACACTGAGAAGAATCTTCCTAAACAACTCTGTGCTTTAAGTCAATTTTTATATTGTATTTTCTCATTTCCCTGCCATTTATTTAGAAACTACTATAGGTTGGTTCTGTAACTACAGAGATAACAACATATAGATCCTCAATGGCCTCAGGGGATAATGGTAACACAGACAAATGAGTAAACACCTACAATGCAGTGGTGCAGTGCTCTAGCTACTGGAATGTATAAAGGGGAAAGTGCTGGGCTACCATGGCAGAGAGAGCTGTGAATGAGAGAGAACTGTTCACATGGAATACACTAGACAACCTCAGATTTGCCAAACAGTAATGGTGTGGATGCAGTGATGGGTAATTCCTGGCAGAGGGAATAGTATAAAGAAAGAACATGGTGTGGTTGGGGAAAACGAAATAACTGGGGAGTATATTAGGCCATTCTTAAAATGCTATAAAGAAATACATGAGGCTTGGTAATTTATTTTACAAAGAGATTTAATTGGCCGTCAGTTTTGCAGGCTGTACAAGCATGGCGCCAACGTCTGCTCAGCGTCTGAGGAGGCTTTGGGGAGCTTTTACACATGGCAGAAGGCAAAGTGGAAGCAGGCAGGTCACATGGTAAAAGCAGGAGCAAGAAAGAATTGAGGGAGAGGTGCCACATACTTTTAAATGACCAGATCTCATGAGAACTCACTCACTGTTGTGATGACAGCACCAGACCATGAGGGATCCACCCCCATGACCCAAACAACTCCACCAGGCCCCACCTCCAACACTGGGGATTACAGTTCAACATAAGATTTCAGTGGGGACAAAATTCCCAACTACATCAGGGAGTAAGAGACAGTGAAAGAGAATGGCAAAAGTTGCTACTGGAGAAGAATAGCAGTATCAAACCATAAAAACATCTTACATTATATGCTGAGAGGTTTGGACTGTATTCTAGAGCAATATTTCTAAACTTGCCATTGTATCATTAAAGTTATGTTTTTTAAAGGAAAGAGCTGTCAGAATGCTATCTACATTGCACAAACATATTCTAGGGGTTGTTTGGAAAATGTAAATGGGAGACAAACATTTGAAGACAGAAAACCAGCTAGATAGTTTCTGTAAGAGCTAAAGGAAACAATAACAAGGCTCTGAATTAGGGCAATGTCCATAGGGGAAGAGGCCATAGGTTTGAGAGATATTTCTTAGGCAAAACCAACACAGCCTATTAGATAAGATAGAGAAAGTGAGGTAGAGAAAGAGTCAACTGAAAATTATCTAAAGAAGAGCAACAGGTTATCAAGGGTTCATTTGTCCAAATAACCTTGTGTCCAGGCGTGTAAAATCCTGAGGGAATACGACCCTGATTAAACAATTTTCACTAGAGGCAAATAGGAACAAAGCCATTGTAATGGACAGTCCAATGGACACAACGTGGAGAAAAGCTGAGAGCCCAGCATGGCAGCACAGGAGCCTGCACGGACTTTGAAATGAAGGAGACAGATTTCAAAAAGAAGGCTGCGAATGGCACCAGAGATACCCCTCTCCTAGTTTACCTAAAGTCAGGTTTCAGCACAGTTGAAGAATTCGGGAGAGGTAGAGTAGTAAACACTTCCTAAACTTTGTCCAATAACATACAGGTTACTCAGAAACAATTTTCCAAGTGAAAAACAAATGGTAATGGTAAACACTAACAACTGGTACTAAATATGTGATCTTTTAATGTCAAATCATCAATGGCAGTATAATTTTTAAACTGTTTACTTGAAAACTTTCCCTGAGGTGAAAAGCATTATTTAGTCATTTGATTAAATATATCAACTACAGAAATGCATTAAAAAAGTAAAGAGCATCCAGTAACAACTGCTATTATTTTGTTATATTTGTTTTTATGCACAAACTATTTTTTATCTAATGTTTTACTTTCCCATATTATAAAATACAGTTTGCCCATATCCTCCAGTTTAACATTCTTTTCCTTATCTTTCAAACTAAAATTGGCTCAAACATCAAATTAATTACAGTAGGAAATCTAATGAATGCTCTGTATATTTCTGGAAATTCTTTAAAGTTTATCTTTTTCCAGAACAAACAGTTGCTGCTTCCAGTGAGTTATTGATGCCTTCTCTGAATTTTGCCACTCTTGGGCACATGCTTCATTCCATACTATCCTGCTTTAAACAGCAGCTAATACATTTATTCACCAATTTACCAGCTCAAGACTGTGTGACCATATACTTTACTGAAGATCTAACACAATAGAAGGCAATTATATTGCTGGTCAGTACAACAGAGGATGTAAAATTGAATATGAGACATTCCCCCTTCTTAAAGTCCTCTCAACCATCAAGGTATTTTATTAATCCAGAATCACTCTCTTCCTTGGAGGAATTCTTCTGCCTGTCCTTAACATAATATTTTTACTACCAATATAAGGATAAGTAAATCATATTTTCAGAGCTGAAGAACATTTACACCATAGCATCAGAAAGAGGTAAAGGGAAAGTGTAACCATAAGCCAGCAAGTCTAATAATTGACATGTTCATGAATGTTTTGGAAGTACCATAGAAAGACATTTAGCGCAGCCCGAGTGAGGAGGAGGATCACTAACTGATCACCCCAAAGTTGAGTCTGATTAAATAAATAGGATTTATCTATGCAGAGAAGGAAAGAGGAGGTAAGAGGACCAATAAGGCAGAAAGATCAGGGTGAGCAAAGACTGAAGGGCAACAGACAGCTTGGTGTTTCCACAGAGCTAAAATCAGCTAAGTCACACACTAGCATGGAGAGGTCTGGGAGAGGAAGAAAGTAGAGAGTCTACCATGTCATGTGAGGGTGTCTATGCCATTTGCTGAGAGTGGGCAACCATTTAAAAGTTTTGAGAGAAAGCAACATGCTTGCATTCTAGCTGCCTCAACCTCATGGCGTATGGATTTGAGGAAAGCAAGAATGGAGGCAGATTTTGAAAGTGAAAGCAAGAGCTATTTCAGACGAGGGACACTCCTGAACTGGAGCAGCAGTGACATAAATAGAGAGAAATCAAATTTAAAATAGCTGGGGATGTACAACTGACAATGCTTCGGGCATGAATGGGTATTCAGAAAAAAATTCCTATAAGACAACTGATGGATGGAGGGAATAAATTTGACAACATAGTAGATGAATTTTCTTTCTCGGTCAGTAGCCTGCAAAACTGACATGGAAGAGACTTTCTTTTACTTCCATCTAGGAGACTGAGATCAATTTTATTTATTTATAATCCCCACAGGACATTCTGACATCCTTTTCAACCATTCTAAAAGTTATTTCTCACTTAGTGTTAGATTAAAAAAAAAAACAAAAAACTTTTAGAAGTTGTTAGGAGCGAGGTAACCATGGACAAGGTATACGCTTTTCCTTGGACTTTCATTCTTAATCCTGACTATTCGTGTGACAGTACAAGGCATTCATGCTGCCAGGCATCCCAGGGATGACCCAAAGTAGTTAAAATACTTTTATTCTCTCCTGGCTTTTATCACCTCTAATGGGACCCTAACTTACATATTCTCTTTTATTCTTCATTATTTTTTCCAGGAGAAGATATGCCTGAAGCGCTTTCTGTGCTCATACAATCTCTTCTTTCAACTTTATATCTCTCTGAGAAAGAACTTTTATAAACTAGGTTATATAAGAATAGCTCAGATGTAAATGCCGATAGAAAAGAGAGGTACTGCAACTTGGGAAAACAACTTTTAAAAATACCCACTGCAGCTTCTTTGTAAGCATGAAGTTGGTATCAGATTCCACTGCAATTACTCAGCAAATGCCCTTTTGAGAAATGAAACTCCTCAAAACTTACCATCACATAAAAGAAAATTCAAAGTTAATAATACCCAGAAAAATGCAAATTAAGACAGTAAGACATGACTGGCAAACGTTAGAAAAATAGAAAATGTCAAATGTAGATGGGAATTTGCAGCTCTAGAAGGCATCTGCTCTGCTGGAAGTGTCAGCTAGGCAGCCATACTGGAATACAAGCTGGTGTACGGACTTCGTAAATACACACTGACCCTATGACTCGGCTTGCATAAAATGTGTGCATATCCCCAGCTCACACCGCAGGCGACTCTGCTCTATATGCAGCACTGCTTGTGCTGGTAGGGAATCTAGAGGAACCTGGATGTGTAAAACTGTCCGTGGATCAGTAGAATGTGGAATGCAATTAGAAAAAGAAACGTAGATGCACACATGGTACTCAGATGAATATTAAGAACACAGTATTTTTGTTAAAAAATGTAGGTCAGAAAAGATGTATATCAACAATATTATTTACATAAACTAAAATACACTGCACATAAAGCGATGTATGTTTTGCAAGGATATATGTAATAAAGACAAATTAAACACAGTAAGTACTTAGCTGTGCGGAAGAAGTTGTAAAATTTGAATTGGGTCAGCAAATAAAGGAAAATAAACACTAAACGGTCATTTTTCTGATCTTTTGCATTTTTCTGTCTTTGATTCCTGACTTCCCCTCACTTTTCTTTTTCTCTTTCTATTCTACCAACAGTTTCTCTCAAACTGAAAAATAAAAATTTGAAGAAAACATGTGGTCAAAATGTGGAAATAGTCCGGGTTTAGTGGGACATACCTGTAATCCCAGCACTGCTGGGGGCCGTGGCGGGCAGATCACTTGAGGTCAGGAGTTCGAGACCAGCCTGGCCAACATAGTGAAACCCCATCTCTACTAAAAATACAAAAATTAGCTGGGCGCGGTGGTACACGCCTATAATCCTAGCCACTTGGGAGGGTGAAGCAGGAGAATCGCCTGAACCTGGGAGGTGGAGGTTGCAATGGGTCGAGCTCATGCCACTGCACTCCAGCCTGGGTGACAGGGAGAGAGTTGGTCTCAAACAAACAAAAAACCCCACAAAATGTGGAAAATAAGAAATAAGCTGGAATTCACAGAGTGTGGTCAGGATACATATGGGATAGCAATTGTAGAATGATGTTTGTGATTTGTTTTCATGCTGCAAGTTTTTTTCATCAACAATAAGGAAGTAGATATTCATTAGTCATTCAATTCTCAGTGTTATGTCCACTAGCGCTACTTTCAAAACCATTTTGACCATAAAACCACCCAAGGTACTTGTCAAATGGAGAGTCCAGACACCCCTCCCAGTACCCTGATTATTCAGATCGAAAGGTGAAGAGTATGGCCAGAAATCTGTATTTTTAATAAATACCCTAGGCAATCATATGAGCAGGCAAGTCGGTAAATACTGGCCAGGCCCATCCAAAATGTTCTTTTCCTTCCTAGGAGGAAGTGCCCATTGGCTGCTTTACCGTGAACATAATGATAAAAATGATAGCTACCATTTATTGGATGCTGGTTATGTAACAGAGCATTCATTTTCTCATCGGCACATCAAAACAACTCTATGGAACAGGTAATTCCATCATTCACATCTTAAAAATAAGGCTGTGTAGCTTACATGAATAAATATAACTTGCCCAATAACAAACTAAATTAGTGGTAGAAATGGTCCTGAAGCTGAGTTTACTAGATGCCTAAGTGTATACTCTTAACCATGACAGCTTATGATTCTTTATTTATTTTACAAGTGAATGGATGATTATAAGGTATGTATGAGGTTGTTTTTTATTTTTCTATATATTATTAGTAAGCATTCGATAGAATAAGTATCTAGTAAGCATCTAGTTTTCATTAAAAGGCAGTTAACTTGAGACCCACACACAAAGCATAACCCACACACAGTTTCAACTGCTTTGCCTTTGTTTGGTTACCACCTAAGCGAGGATGTATGTGACGTATCAGGGATTGCCCAGTTATCCCGGTAGTTCTCTCAAAGCCTTCTCTTTGCTCTAGGCTGTAATTATCTCTAAAAGCTAGTATTCAAAGTTGGTGGAGAAACTGTCCTCTAGGAGCAAAAGGAGTATCATTGCTGTAAGGCTACACCTAGACATTGCTGAGTGAAGATCTTGATAAAAACAAGGATTCTCTATTCTTAAGCAATTCTTTTGAGATTTCTGTACTTAGAGAGAACTTCTACAAAATTCCTTCAAAGAGGCAAGCCAGTTATTAATGTGCTGTTCTACATGCTGAAGAGAAGTTAGCTCAACAGATTGTACACATAGAGGAAACAAACAGCATTTAAAACTGTTATATTTTAACAAGTACTGCTGTGCCAAAAAAAAAAAAAAAAAAAAAAAGAGAGAAAGAGAGACAGTATCCTTATGGATTTTTTTTCTCTTTTTTAAAGTTTCAAGCAAAAAGATATTATATAAAATACAATTTCTTTGTTTTGATTCAAAGGTTATAAACAATAAAATATGACTCAGAGAAAGTTGTTTGGAAATATTAGTAAAAGAAAAAATGGAGACTATAGCACTCTAAGTGCAATTCAGAATTAAAGGACAGTATAGTGACTACTTCCAGGTTATAAATCAGCACTGTCAACAGCTTTTTTAAAAGGTAATATTAACTTTCACATAGTATTTTTTACTTAAAATGCATCAAACTCCTATTTTCATCCACATCTTTGCCAATTGAAATGAACAAAGAATACGAAGATAAGAAACCCTTCATGGACTCAGGGAACTAAGAAGAAAATCTGATCAATTAATATGAGATGTAATAAAGATGGAAACAAATTAAAAGTCTGACACTTATTTAAACACTTCTTTCTGAGAAAAGCACATGGTTGACATGGTGAGGGAAGGGTATGCCAGCACCCGTTTCACATCCCTGAATGGAAGTTATTTATCAACTTTCACCCACTTTCTTTACTATCAAATGATGGACACTGAATTGATTCATTATTTCTTTAAGGTTGCAAACTGATGATTTCTCATCCTATCATGCTTTCTATTGTTTGCTAGGACTTTTCTGTATAAAACTTTCCCTTACCCATGCTGGCTGTCATTTACCCTGAAATATATTTTATACAAGAAAGACAGGATCAATACTTAAGGATTTCACTCTTACCATCAATTTTCTGAGTAATAAGTTGATGCGACTCCAAAATATCCAATGAGTTTGTTTTGTGTGTCTATTTCCTTTTCATGATGTTTTAATATAAAATGTTTTAGTCAATCGAAGTCACTTTGAACCTCAAGTGGTCCCACCATAGGCCAATGGGAACCCCTTAGAGCAGGTTCCAGTGTCCTTTTGATGCAAGACCAACAGTGTCAGATCACTTATTTGCTTTCAAGCACGACAACCTGTTCCAGGATCAGTTTGTGTATTTTCTATTTCAAATCCGATATAATGTGGATCCAGATTTTTCAGAAGCAGATTATATGGTTTGAAGGTCCTCATTAAGAAAAAAAGTACAAAACCGTGAATATAAAATAAGATACAAAAGTAAATATTTAAATAGACTGACAAAATAAATAACAACAAACTATAGCATTTTAAAGGTAGACATCCTACAAATATCACAAAATCCAGTAAAAAGACATAATATTGTTACTAACTGTTGAAATACCTCTGTAATGCTTTTTCTTACATTTTTACCTGAATTCTCTTCATATGACAACAATTTTATAATATCTTCTAAGCAGAGAGTGGAAAGGTAAATCTTTCTTTCCTCTATAACACTTCAATAAAAGTGATTATAATTATGTTGGCACAAAAGTGTGCTTTTTGCCATTAAAGGTAATAATATGAAGTATTGGGAGAAACTATCAAGTTTCTTTCAGACTCACACTTTAATATTTGGAGGTATTTCCATAGTTAGCTTCTGACTCTGTTTATCTGAAACTTTTTTTCTGCTTCACTATTCTCACATTGTTATGGGCATTAGAACATGTTCATATCCTCATATGACCTCAGCTTTGCCCCTCCTTCTTAGGATATTATATTGATTCCCATGGAGAGGCACATTCTATATCAGAATAGTTAACAGTAACGTCAAGGGACCATTAACTATACAAGAATATATCCCTCCTCAAAATTTCCTTAGCATGACCTCTAAAATCCCCATGGCCAATTCAAAACTACTCAACCAAAAAGAATTATGGCAAAGAGAAAATCAGAGTAAAACTAATTGCAACTTAAAATATCATCGTTTTGAGTATTTTGCAAACAAATGTGTGTGTGTGTGTGTATATATATATATACATAACCATGTGACCACACTGCTAAGACCTCTCATGAATTTGGAAAGGGCTCACACAAGTGAAACACCCTGCAACTTCAGCTTCTTTAAAGCCACTATAATTTCATCTCAACCTGGAATCAGCCATTTACACAAGGATTTCATTTCCTTTTGTTACTGAATACTCATTGCTACTGAGTTTTCATTGCTCCCAGACATTTTCACTAAAGTTAGAAATATGTATTTTTAAAGAAGGGAAATATGATGTACTTATACTGATGTTTCAATTCTAAATTAAAATTACATAATTTTTACTTAAATGATTTATTTTTTATACTCCTATGTCTTGTATCTTATGCTGAAAATCTTAATCCCCCAAAGATAATTTTCAGGATAACTCATTTGCTTTATTCTATAATAGACATAATATAGATTCCAATGAACAATTCCCAATAATAAGTTGAATTGACTTTAAATACTGAATAGAATTGTATCAAGGTACAACCCAGAAACAAGTAGGAATCCTGAAGCATGAACAGTGTGTGTGAATTCTAGGGCTTAATGTAACCAGAATAAATCATATATTTGGGAGAGAATGCGTGACAGCAGATACGAACTTTGCTAAGTGCTAGTTAAGCAGCTTTTACATTATTGTGAATGCTCTTAAAAGCAGATACTTATTTTAATCAGGGGAATAAAATGAATCTGAATTTTTTTTAAGTCTGGAATGAAAGAGAGAGCAGACTAGCAAGAAACCAGCATGGTGTGAAGAATAAAATAGGGGAGAGCCTCAGTGACTGTGTAAATTAGAAAGCCACCCAGTCCCTGCAAATGCTTCCTCAGGCTCACTCTGACAACAATCCAGGAGACAATGAACTTCAGCTGGCAGAAAATAACTGGACTTATTCACAAACTTAGGTTATCAGGGAAAAATTATCAGAAAGGAGAAAGGAGATAGAAATAGCAGTTCTCATTTCATCTCACTCCTATTAGTCAATAAATATGTATTGAGCTTTTTCTATATGCCAGCAACTGGTGGAAATAGAGTATTCAACAAGACAAACATTGTCCTTGCATTTTGTGGAGCTTACAGTATTGCAAGAAGAATGAATAAACGAACAAAATTGATGAGGCTCTAAAAGAAGCCTTTTAAATTACAAGTATGTGGGATAATTTTGATATTGTGGTTGTTATAACACTGTATTCCAGATGTTGCCCGGGCAAAATGAAACCATGAAAGTTTGGTTCCATCTGTCCTTTTTTCCATATGTCTTCTCACCTCTGAAAATTACATCCTGTCATTTACCCTGAAACTGATTACCCTCTGTCTTTGTCTTAGACCCAGCTTGATAAGCAATTAAAATGATCAGCTAGGAAACTCAATAAACTAATGCTTACAATTCCTATTTGGTGTAATTATGTCTTAGAGCTGACTCTGTGTGGTAAAAAAAATATATATATATATCCCCAGCTCTGTGATTTTACCCCCTTAGTATGATAGACTTTCACACTACGGAGTGCAGAATATGAGTTATTTTGAGTAAAGTGGTATGTTTTATGGCCTCTCAAAACACAACATGAAGGCAGGGCGTGGTGGCTCACGCCTGTAATCCCAGCACTTTGGGAGGCCGAGGCGGGCGGATCACAAGGTTAGGAGTTCGAGACCAGCCTGGCCAACATGGTGAAATCCCGTCTCTACTAAAAATACAAAAAAATTAGCCAGGCGTGGTGGTGGACGCCTGTAATCCCAGCTACTCAGCAGGCTGAGGCAGGAGAATGGCGTGAACCCAGGAGGTGGAGGTTGCAGTGAGCCGAGATCGCGCCACTGCACTCCATCATGGACACTAAGAATGAAACTCCGTCTCAAAAAAAAAAAACCCACACACACAACATGAGAGCATTTTCAACCTGTAGGGCAGGGCTCGCTAGATTATACAGTATGCTAACGGGAAAACTCTGTCTTCATATCTTGTGTAGTTACTCCGAAGACACCTTGAGAAGGCACCTTTCTTCATGGTTGGCTATTATTTTCTAACCAGGCCTACATAAAAATTACGGAGACTTTTGCTTTGTAAAAATAAGTACATAAACTGAGCACGGCGGTTCTCACCTGTAATCTCAGTGACTCTGGAGGCTGAGGCAGGAGGATTCCTTGAGACCAGGTATTCAACACTAGCCTGAGCAATATAGCTAGATCAAGTCTCTGATAAAAATTTAAAAATTAGCCGGATGTAGTGGCATGTGCCTGTAGCCCCAGCTACTGGAAAGACTGAGGTGGGAGGATTGTTCCAGTCCAGGGTTTCAAGGTTGTGGTGAGCTATAATTATACCACTGCAGTCTAGCCTGGGTGACAGAGCAAGACCCCATGTCTAAAAAAATAATAATGATAGTAAGTATGTACATAAAAATTGAGTTTCAAGGTGTTGAAAGATAATTTCTTAAGGTCACATATTTGACATATCTTAAGATGAAAACCAGAACAAATAAGGGCATTTGTACGAGATAGCTTTGAATTTTCTGTAAAACACACAAAAAATGTTCTCTGGATTAATAGAATTTAGAGACTTGAAGAGGAGAAAGTGTGGATTTGCTGGTCATAAAAAGGAACAACCCATATAAAACCTAAAAATTAAAGAACTGGTACATATTTTTCTTGTATATTTTTAGGGCTAAATATGTTGGACATTTCGGTTTTGGATTAGTACTTCAATAATTTGCAAGTTGGTTTTTTCCACTTTCCATTTTGTGATTTTTATCTTTTAAAAATAATTCTATAAATTTTATTCTACTAATTTATCTTAGCTAATTTTGTTAGTTTTCCTCACCTGAATTTTGTGCTTCCATTTTTTTTCACTCCTTGTAGGTGTGAGTTTGAATCAATACAATCATTTTAAATTGTATTTGGCAAATTTTATCTAAAGTCTTAAAATAATTCAGAAACACTGACTTTGTAATTCCACTTCTAGAACCCTCCCTTCACCTAGAAATAAATATAGATGTAAACAAAGACTGAGCTTTAAAAATGTTTACCATGGATTTATAATAGTAATACAGTGAACTGCTTAATTGTTCAATACGGAATGGATTCAATAAATGACTAATATCTATGCCTTAATGGATTGCTCTTCTTCAAATGTCTGCCCTCCCAAAGCGTGGTCTAGAATGTTCTCAAGGCATCACTTGAGTCTCTTTTCCTCTTAGAATCCTCTCCAACTCCTCCAGGAAGACTTGATTGACCCCTCTTCTGTACTCATCTAACTGTCCAAATATTGGCAGTCACTCTGTGGTATGATTGTTTTTCTCTTTGCATGCCTTTTCTCCCTTTTCTAGATTATGAGATGTTTGATAGTAGAAATCATGTCTCACTTATCTTTTTATCAGTCTTACCTAGCAGAATGCCTAGCGTATTGTTGACATTAAAAAGCCCTTTATTGGATAGCTGAATCAAGGAATGAGTGTTGGTTGAGCAATTTTGATGACATTGAGCAACAGCACAACAATGTCGCAATTCAAAATGCTGCTGATTGCAACTTATAGCTTTTTAAACTCTGACTTAGTCAGACCTGATAAATGCTGATTATCTTTTCCTAATTACACAAGTAAAACAGGCTAATTCTAGAAAAGCTAGAGGATAGATACATTGTAGATTAAAAACATATATAAATTTCTCATAATTCCAGAAGGATCATTCTTGATTCATTTCCTTCCAACTTTTTTCCTGATTAAAAAAAGGTAATTAGATCAAGGTAGATTAGATAAATAGGTAGATATAAATGGATAGATATAATTGCATAAATACATATGAATAGACCATTTTTCTGTATTTCAATGATTTTAAAAATAAACCGTGAAACATTCCAAGGTATTTTGGTCATCATGTTAAAATTTGCATATGTATATTTCACTTGAAAACATTACAAAGAACTTTCTTCTTTTTATTTTACACTTCAAGTCACACTCTAGAAATTTTCTAACTATTTTTCTAAGGGAATTTTTTTAAGGCAGTTTGATGACCAAATCAGACTTTATTTAACTTTCCAACTTTGTCTACAATCAGCTGTTGAGTTCCGCGGGCTTTCTTTCTTGCAAAATATTAGGGATGTCTTGACCTCATTAATAATCTACATAATAATGGAGGGTTTAAGGGTAGCAGACAAAATTAAACTCATTCGTGTGCACTCATTGATAAAGTATGTATTGCACTAAAC